ACACCATATGTTTGATCCAGTAGTACTATGGGTGATCCAATATATGTGTTGTAATATTTCTATGGTAATAGATTTAAGACAAGTCATAGGTTTGAATATATAAATGAAGCTTCTGAAAAACTTCAAGTTGATCCAGATAGGTTATGTCTATGTGATATACAAGGAAATGTTGAACTTTTAGGATATAGAGAAAAAAGATGTGTGTACTATAGAGCACCAAATGTTAACTTTGACTGTGATGGTTTGGTGTTGATTTACAATAATGAATACAGTTAGCCATGTGACAAATTTATTACTCAAAATGGTATTGTAGATATATTTGTGGAACACAAAATTGATGATGATACGAAGAGTCCAGAAATTAAGGTTGGCTATCAAGAAGTTAATAAGGTTGTTGAGGGTGAGATAAATGTGGGTGAGTAGGGGATGTTGGTATAAGTAGGCTACGAGCTACTGATGTAGGTGGACTAAGGGTTGTTAATGGAGTATTTGGGCCTGGGTTAGGGGCAAAAGATGGAGTGTTTGAGACTATTGGTGTGGACGGGTTAGGGGTTGTTGATGGAGTGCTTGGGCCTATTGTGTAGATGGTTAGGGACTATTGATTTAGGGGCCGCTACTACTGATATTTTTAAGGATTATGATGGTGAACATGCTGAATAAAGGGTTGTTAATATGGATGATGAAGAATGTTTCTTACATAATATATAAATAACATCTGATGTAGATTTTGAAATTGTAAACATAAGAAAAGAGTTGATAAGTGGGCAAAAAACATGAGAAGAAACATGTTGAAGTGAGTGAAGATAGTGGTGAGGAAGATGTTAAAGTGAGTGAAGATGGTGGTGAGGATGTTAAAGTCAGTGAAGATGATGGTGAGAAGCTTGAGGATAATTTGAGTGAGTACTTAGACTCTTCTGATTCGGGAGAATACAGTGACAATGATGAGTCTTCAGATATTTATGGGGCATATTCTGGAGCTCGAACAATAGGACCTATATATGATCCAAAATGTGACATTCCAATATGGGAACTTGGTATGAGATTTGAAAATAACATTCAATTCAAAGAGGTTATGAAGAAGTACTATGTGGCAAAAGGTGTGCAATTGAATTTTTTGAAAAATGAAACCAAGAGAATAAAAGTGTGTTGTAAGGCGGTGTGTCCTTGGACAATATTTTATAGCTATAACAACCGAGTTAATTGTTATATTGTGAAGACATATTATATGGTGCATAAATTTTGTAAGAGTAATAAACACACAATGCTATCATGCAAGATGATTCAGAACAAATTCAGAGATAAGATTTTAATATAACCAAAATAAAATATCAACATTGAAGGAATTGTGTAAAACAGAGGTAAAAGCTTATGCAACATATAATATGTGTCAAAGAGCAAGATCTGCTGTTTTGAAAAAGACGTGTCGTTCTTTTGTAGATGAGTTTGCTACTCTTTGGGGTATGCTGCAGAGTTGCTACACTCTAACCCTGAAAGTACAATAATAATTCAAGTGAACTGAGATAATGATGGCATAACAACATTCCATAGGATGTATGTTTGTTTACATGCACTGAAGCAAGGTTGGAAAGAAGGTTGTAGACCGTTTATTAGTGTTGATGGTTGTTTTCTCAAACATGTTATGAAGGAGATATTACTTGTTGTTGTTGGTATATGTGGAAATAATCAGATGTTTCCAGTTGCATGGGCAGTTGTAGAAGGGGAAGAAAATAAAACATAAAGATGGTTTTTATAGAAAATTATGGTTGACTTAGATCACCCTAATGACGAGAGAATTGCACTAATGTCAGACATGCAAAAGAATATTGAAGCTCATACTTCCTAATTTCAATATACTCGGAAAGGTCCTTGATTGAAGTGGAAAGGAAAGAAGGTTGTTAATACTACACAACTTCGATAAGAACAATCATATGCCTCTCGGAAGCATCCTAAAATTCAAAGGACACAATAAATGCAATCTTTGGTTATAATAACATTTTAAGTTTTTTTTGTTGCTTAGTGGATCTGAATTTGGTTTTTTTTCTTAAAGATCCAATCATTTTTAGTTGACATGCTATTTTTTTGTTGTATCAAACTAGATTGGTTGATGAAGCTTTTGCTAGTCCTTTAAAGTCCTTCAAACAAGTATATGTGAACTATTATCAAAGCATTAAGCAACATATATATCTAATGAAAGTAACATATTGCAATTGTAAAGTATAATATTTTTCTGCATTTTTTTACAATATCAAATGAACACATTAGTATTACTACAAGTCAACACTTAAGGATAGTAAACTAAACTTACCTTTACATTTCAAAATCATATCAAAATTCAATAATCATTACAACAAAACAGGCATGGAAAGGGAAAAAATTTAATAAACCATAAATTATAATCATTAATTCAATATAGTCATTTACAATAAAACAGAAGCAGTAAACCACAAATACAATAAACCATAACCATTGTAAACTTGAAATGCCTATAATTTTAACACATAAACACCATTAAGAGTACTGCACAAATCATCCAAGAAATTAACATCCCACTAAGATACAAAATTTTCATTTTCCTAAGTTTATGAACATGTTCGCTGAAATTAAGTTTTTCTAGATCGAATTTAACTCAAACTTTGGTTATTTAACTTGAAAACAACCATCACGTCGCTTCACTTTCTTTAACTAATGAGAAAGTTATGGGAAAAAATAGCATTTATTGTGTCCTTTAAAGAATGTCAACTAAAGAATTTACAATCTGAACTTACAAAAAATAGCATTAAAGATCCAAAGTTTTTCTTTCAGACATATCTTCATCATACCATTTGAAAAACTTACAATCTGAAATCTTGAAATTAGGACAACTAAAGAACTTTCTCCCTGCATTTTTTCTTTTACAAGTTATTCACATATGACATTTCAAACTACATCTAAAGTACATAACATTACCATCGTACTCCTAAGAAAATGAAGAATGGACATTGCTTCGACTGGTTTCAATAGAGAAGCTCACCGAATTTGTCATACTAATGAGAAATTTATGGGAAAAAAATCTTTGAGGAGATAAAAGACCCTAAAAAACTAATGAGATTTTATTTCTCAAATAAACTTACCCAAATCTTATGATGCCCATCAACGATGCGAGACCAAATGTTTGATTTGTCTTCAAAAATCGTTAAATAAAGAAAAAAAATTATTCTTCAAAAGCACGATAGCATCGTGAGATGTTTTGTTTAGGAAAGTGAAAGATATAGGTTTTTAATAAGGGTTTCCGGCTACAAATTAATTAATTTAGTTGTTATTAATTATTTATTTTCCTAGTCAGCATTTTAATCCTATTCAGGGCCTAGTCATCACTAAAAGGACGAGTTGGAGTGCTTAATGTTATGCATCGTCAAAAACTAACGATCCCGTAGGTCAAAGACAAAAAACGTTTGTCAATGGATCACATTGAGTATTTTTCTGACTTGGAGGGCCACATTAAATGCAAAAAAAAGTAGAGGGTCACATTGATTTTTTTAAAGTACGAGAGCATCTAGTACCCTTTTGCCAAAATAAAATGATTTAATGGTACTTAACCTCTCAAATTTTTGGAAAAGAAACTTAAGGTAAGTAACTTGGTTTTAATTTATTTTCTTTGATCAGGTGACGTCCCCTTATTAGTTCAAAGCAATTCATTAAAGAAACACAGTATTCAGAAGAAGAAAGAAAATTACGTAAAAAATTTAAAAATATATAATAAAAATTTATCTATATTATTGTTAATTTTTTAATGATTTATCGTTAAAATGAGAAAAAAAATATTGTTTAGGAAATAGACAATAGATTGATGACTAATGTTGTAGTTTACCCAATATTTTTTGTTTAATTTTAGGGTAAACTACGTAGTTAGTCACCCAACTATCACTTTGGTTCCATTTTGATCACCAAACTATTTTTTCTTTCAAAATCATCACTAATTGTTTTCGTTTCATTTTAGTCACGCGAAATTAAAAAATTAAAAGAACTGCTAACATAATATTTTTATTTTTTCAATGATGATGTTGTATTACCTTATATTGATATGTTGGTATCATTGTTAATTTTTTAACAATAAGTGACAAAAATGAAACTAAAACGTACCATTAACGATATTTTTATAAAAAAAAAACTGAATAAACAAAAATGAAATCAAAATAATAATTAACTGACTAAATAAATACTTAATTTACCCTTAATTTTATTTTACCACTCGGTCGGTTTTAGATCTCTTCCCGCGCAAAATTGTTTAGTGCATTTTAGCATCGGCAAACCTGCGCTGAAACTGATATAAAATTTGTTGTACAAATACAATTTAACCCATGTACTTTTTCCATTTAGGCCAAATAATCCATATTCTTTTCTTTTTTCTTAAATATATGTGAATTTTAAGCATTTAGAACTCTAAATACAGAAAAGAACATTAGCTACTAAATTGATCAAATTATACCCAACAGCATATTGTTTTTCTAATTATTTTTCATTATTTGATTCATTTATAAATATATTACAAGTAAATGTTGAATTAGTTACTACCTCCGGTATAATTCAATCAAAATTGAATTTCTCACAACTACTAATGATTCTATATATATGTATTCTTTTTTTTTGTAACCGGGTCACTTTTATTTAAAATTAAAAAATTATTAATTATTTTCACTTTATATTTTAATTTAAAATATGTTATAGTGACATACATCATAACACATTACACATGCACTCTTTAAAAGATCGCACACTTACTAATTAAAAAGCTAATACCATGATTTAATAAGGCAGTGAAATTAAATCTTAGAGGGGTTAATTGTTAAACACATAAAAATCTACAGTGAAATTGCAATAATATCCCAACTCCCAAGGACCGAACAAAATATTTGTAGCATATTGCAAATTGGGCGTATGTTAGCAAAGACCCACGAACCCAATGATCTTCCACTTCCAGAATGAAGAGGCCATAGGTTGCTTACTATTTAACACATTTATTTATATATAAAAATTGGAGAAAGTTGCAGATTTTTGAAGTGGAGCTTCAATGGTGAATCGCCCAAGAGCCCGCAAACGAATCCATGCTACCCTGCCCCGTCGTTCACCTGATGGTAGTGCCTTTCAGAAGTGGTAATTTATACATATATACGCCTAAAAGTTAATACTTTGCCTTTCTTTTTAAGGGATGGTCATTGCTAAATGATCATTGGTTTTTTCAATTCTTCATCTTTTGGGTTGATCTGGAGGTTTGGGTTTTTGATATTATCACTTTTTTTTTTATGTCGAAGTGATTTTTGCGGTGAAATGGTGGCGATTGCTTTGGCTGATATGCACGGCTGTGGGCCTAAGAAGAAAGAGTTGAAGAGGTTTAAGGGCAATGTAGGAACTCAAAATGCTGTCAAACCAATAATTTCTTTGCAACCCAGATCGGCTTTTAATATTTTCTTGTAAATTTCTCACTTTTGATGCCTCACTTTACTTTTCATTCTTCAACACTATCCATTTATTTACATTTTTTGAAGTTGTTTTGGTATGCTTGAGAAATCTTAATGATGCTAGTGAGGATTCTAACCTTAAACTTCAAATCTTATAGGGTAGTAGACATGGTATAAATGTTTGGATTATGCTTTTATATTCATAGTGAATTTCTTACAGTCATCTCCTTTATAGTTGTGTTTGTAGCATCCACTGAATATTCTGTCAAATTTTTTGTCTTTTTTATTATTCTTTTGATAGAGGACACTACTTTGTTGGAAGCCTGGATTTTAGTCCAACTCTTTAATGTTAGGAGAATCATTTACTTGGTCAAATACATAGGAGCTTTGTTTATTTGTATGTCCTTATACTTGCTTATGACCTGATATTACATTCAATCTGTTAACTAGATATTGGTGGGTGAGGAAATGGAAAAATGGTATTAAACTGCAACTTTTTGACTGATCTTGAGTTGAGGGATTGCACAAACTAAACTTCATTATTTTCGTTCGGTGTGTTTCTTAGGGAAACCTTTATGGAAACCAACAAGAATGGAAATTTCATTGATACCGACCGGAAGGGGTTCGAAACTTGGAAAAACATGTGTGAGGAGGTAATGGTGATCCTGAGTTGTCATTACTTTCCGTTGCAAGTTTTCTACTGGTATTTTGTATCGAGTATTGCTTCCTATCTTTCTTTGTAGGAGAGAAAAACATATGTTACTCAAGCTGAAAAGGTGAACTCAGCCTACATGATGTGGTTGAAGAGGAGAAAAATATTATAAAAGTGAGTGGGGTTCAGAATTTATGATTGTTAAGTTGATTTGAACTATGTCTAGAGTAACCTAAATATGTTTATGGCATAATTGGTCATATCAATTATTGTTCTTTCGATAACAATGTGTATGCATTTTGAATGTTTAATCATAAAACTTGTGTAGATTCTTAAATCTGACGTTTGTGGATTCTGTTTTCTGTGTTATCAGCTGATGATTCTAAAGATACATGATTTTGAATGCATGATCCTATCATTTTCACGTAATTATCGTCAGCATAATTGTTTCTCGATTTAATTGTCTTCTACTAGAACCAATATATGATTAGCTGTGATTTGGCATGATAATTAGCTTCTCTAAATCTTTCTTCCGGTGGAAATTTATCCATGGTTGAGCTTATTTGCTTCCCTTCTTGAACTTGAAAATTAGCATATCTATTGTCCAAACTTCAAAATAGAACAAAGCTTTGAAACTATTCTTTCTTGTTTGAAGTTATTAAGCCTTTTAGCAATGAGTTTCTTTTAGGTGGATGATGAGTCTGATTCTGCAACGGTTGGGAAATTTGATCAGGTTTGCATATATGTGTGGGACACATAAAAACATAGCAAATATGGATAAATTTACATCTGTTTTTTTAAAATAATCTCTTATTAATGGAATTTACAGTTCAATGAAGATTTCGAGTTGTATGAGACATCTGATGATGGTGAACCATACCACTCTGGAGGATTCAAGAGCTTGAACACAAGTGAATGGTACACTTCACTGCTTCTGCATGCGTACCATAATTGTTATCATGTAGAAGATAGATGTAAACAGTCTTTCTCAACTTTCCAGGTTGATTGTCTAAGTTAACCGCATTCATATATCACGCTCATGCTCGGCACTGGTAAATTATGACCTTGGTGAAGCAGGGAAACCGCCATGGATGACTGAACTTAAAGAGCTTGCCGTTTTTGTTGAACCCTTTTGTTTCATGTCAATGGGGCCTTACAGTTGATCTGTTTTGTAAAGGACAAGTCATTCCGCTATTGTATAGTTTATTTTGTTACTGGACAGGGCGTGAAGTTCTACAGTGCGGCAGGCTTAAAAACGGCTAAAATAAGGCGTTACCGGTTTTGTTATCGTTTCAATAATAAAATCGGTAAAAATACCTAAATTTTTCCGGTAATTACCTAAAATATTATGTTAATCCGGTTATTTTTTAAGCCTAATAATGTTTTCGGTATTTTTTTTCGAAAATCCGGTAAAACACACCCAATAATAACAAAATCGGTAGCGTCTAATAATGTTTTCGATAATTTTTATCGGTTTTATTATTTAACACAACAACAAAACCAGTAACATTTTATTTTAGCCATTTTTTGTTTGCCGCACCGGAACTATCCCCGACAGGGCTTGAGAGAGGAAGCATTTATTTTGTCCATATTTTTGTTTTATAATATTTTTCTAAGGGATATCTCGGCTTCCTCGCCCATGTAGGGCGTTGGAAATTTTTTTTCTCATATAAGGCTCTACCCAAATTATTTCTTGAATTGGGGTGTTTGCTACAGTGACCTCGTTGGTCGCCAATTGCTCCATAGGTCGCTAAGTGCTCATTGTGACAAAGCCGCAAATCTTCTCTCTTCCCTCTCTGTTTCAGTTCCATAGGTCGCTGTGTGCTCCATAGGTCATCGTGTGTTCCTGGAGACCTATGGAGGTCGCCATGTGCTCCTGGAGATATATGTGAAGAATTTTTTTTTTCAAATGCATTATTCAAACACTTTTGCCATATATCTTTGTCATACAAAAACAAACAATTGCAGTTTCAAATAGGGCGATAAACCGGCCTAGTCGAGTCAAAGTTCGACTTACATTTAAAAAGATCAAGGATAGGCCTGTAAATGAACTGAACGTTCAACGAACCGTGCGGCGAGACGTTCGTTTATGTGCGTTTATTTATTAAATGAACGAACATGAACAAGATTTTTTGTTCGTTTAATTAAATGAACAAACATGAACATAGGTCTCGTTCGTTCATTTACGTTCGTGAACGTTCGGTTATGTTCGTTTGGTTATGTTCGTTTATGTTCGTTCGATTATGTTCGTTTATGTTCATTCATTTATGTTTAACACAATCTTCTTAAATCAATTTTGGTGACCAATTTGTAAGTATCTTAAAAATATTAATATAATATTTTGATGACCAACTCCATAATTAACCCGATTTTATTTGGAGATTAAATCTAATATGTTAACCTGTGAGGCACCTCGCACTTATATTCATTTTCCCTTTTTTTCCCCAAACCTTATTGTTCATTGGAGAGTGGAGACGATCTCTGAAAGATTCAAAACAAGTTATATTATAGTGCAATATGAAGTTTTACATGTCTGTTTTCATCTCTTTCTCTGTTTTATTTGACTTAATAGTTGATATGTAAAGTTATTGTGGGTATCTTCACATCTAAAACTCAAGAAAACATAATACTTCTTTCTAGAAATAGATGGGAAGATAAAGGTAAAAATCGGAAGTATATGAGCATCAGTAAAAAGAAAAATATATAGAATTTGCCAGAAAACAAAAACAAAGGTTTCTATGCAATTTCTGAAAAATAGTGTAATAGCGGAAAATGATTGTTCATATGTAATCATGGAACACTAAGATAAATGTTATAACGTTAAATTAAAGTCGTGTGAATCATTTAATATCTTTAAAAGATAGATCGAAATATTTGATATCTTCAAACATTTCATCACTGCTAATAAGCTCTTACGCTATTTATCACTGTAGATTTGGTTGATTTGCATTGTCGACTATTTTTCATGAAAGAACAATGGAAGGTAGGGTCTCCAACGTTTATGTTCGTTTATGTTCGTGTTCATTTATGTTCGTGTTCGTTTATGTCCGTGTTCGTTTATGTTCGTTTATTTATTAAATGAACGAACATGAACAAGTTATATTCCTTAATAAACGAACATGAACAAAAAAAATTTTGTTCGTTTATGTTCGTGTTCGTTTATGTTCGTTTATTTTTTAAATGAACGAACATGAACATACCTTCATTCGTGTGCGTTCGGTTCGTTTACAGGCCTAATCAAGGATAACTAGACTCTAAAGGTTATAAATTGAAATAAAAATTAAAGTTCCACTCTAACTCAAAAGTATTAAACATAAATCATTTTTAAAATTTTGATCGAAGCTTGAACTTGAGTTCGGTTTAATCTCTAATTTGAGCTCGAATCTTAACCTATAGTTTCAAAGCATCTTTTTTTTCAAGTTGCTTTTAAAGCTTTCCTTCTCTCTCAGATTTATTTTAAAATTTTCTCGATAAATTCGGAGTCTTTTTGAAACCCAAGCCCTATCTTGCCTTCAAAGTTTGCTGATAGAGAAACCAAAGGCCAGGAAATTAAACAAGGCAAAATTTGAAACCCTAAACGTAGCCTGAAGATTGATTTCTACTTGAGTCGTGAGATTTTGAGTTGCGGCTCGGTTTGTGTATTCTGCGAGCAGTACAGAAAAATGGGGAGCAAATTCAAGATGAATGGCATTGCTAACCTTCTGCAAACTTGCATAGACAACAAATCTCTTCTGCTAGGCAAAGTCTTCCATGCTAATGTCCTTCGCAACAACCTTTTAACCAACACCTTCCTGTGCAATCGTCTCATCGAACTCTATTCCAAATGCAACGACTCGTCCTCTGCTGACCGTACGTTCCACTATACCCCTCACAAGGACATTTATTCATGGAATGCCATTTTCAGCTTTTATTACAAAGATGGGAACTTAAATTTTGCACGCAAGGTGCTCGAACAAATGCCTGAGAGAAATGTTGTCTCCTGGAACAACTTGATTAGTTTAATGTTAAAAAATGGGTATAGGAAAAAGCGTTGGATGTTTATAAGCTTATGGTTTCGGAAGGTTTTTTGCCAACGCATATTACCTTTGGTATCGTTTTAAGTGCTTGTGGAAGTGTTTTGGATTTGCAGCTTGGGAAGAGATGCCACGGTCTTGTTAAATGTAATGTTCTACTTGGGGAACAAGTACATGGCCTTGCAATTAAGCTCGGATTTGAAAATGATCTTTATTTTCCTAATTCGTTGCTTGATACGTATGCTAAGAATGGGATTATGAACAATGCTGATATAGTTTTTCATAATTTGGGAAAAGTCAGTATTGTTTCCTGGAATATTATGATTGCTGGATATGGCCAGAAAGGAAATAGCGGGAAAAGCTATAGAGTGTTTTGAAAAAAATGCAATTTTGCGGATTTGAACCTGGTGAGGTTACTTATATTAATATGCTTGCAGCATGTTTAAAGTGTGGAGATGTCGAAACTGCACGTCAGATGTTTGATAACATGCCTTTCCCGAGTGTTGTTTGTGGAATGCTATAATCTCTGGTTATTCCCAGAATGAGAATCATGGAGAAGCGATAGATCTTTTTAGGTAAATGCAGTTTCAAAGTGTAAAACCCGATCGGACTACTGTGACCGTCATCCTTGGCTCATGTGCCGGGATGGACTTCCTGGAGGGTGGAAAACAGGTCCATGCTGAGCTGCAAAAGGCAGCTCTTCATACCGACAATTATGTTGCTAGTGGACTGATTGGCGTGTACTGAAAGTGTGGGAAGACAGAAACAGCAGGGCGTATATTTTCTTCCCTGCCGGAGCTACATATTGTCTGTTGGAATTCTATGATTGCAGGTCTTACTCTTAATTCTCTAAACAAAGAAGCTTTCAGGCTCTTTAAGAAAATATTACTAGGTAGAATGTCACCTACTGAGTTCTCTTATGCAACAGTATTGAGCTGTTGCACAAAATTATCTTCTTTATTTCATGGCAGACAGATCCACTCTCAGGTAGTGAAAGACGGCTACGAGAGTGATATGTTTGTGGGCACTGCTCTTGTTGATATGTATTGTAAATGTGGCGAAATAGATGAGGCACGAAAGCATTTTGATATGATGCTAGAATGTTTTATGTTTAAACTTTGTTTTTATGTGTTGTCGTGCTTATGGGTAGATTTAGAAATAAATTTTTCTTTTTGTATGTGATTTCTATAATTTTTAGAAATAAAAGTTGTGGATTTTTCATACTATCTTTAGTGCAACGATAGTGTTTGTGAAAAGCAAAGTTAGTATACAGAAATATATGCTGCCAATTGTCTAGTATTGTTAACTATTTGATTAAATTGAATTAATGAAGGTTGATTCTTGTTAATTGAATGGTGTTAATCATTGTGAGAAACATGAATGCAATGTTTAAAGCATAGTCATAGTTGGAACTGCCAAATAACACACACATCCATTAAATCTTTGATTCGTTTCTCTCCTGAATGTTGTTGCACTGCCCGACACTTACTATTCTGATTTCTATAATTTGTTGTCTATTTCTTATTTCATCATTCAACCATACATCCTTATCTTTCACACAACTTTACTGTAATCCGAAGCTTTTATAACTTTCACTTTATTACTTGGAGACGATAGTGTATGCTTGCACTTTGATGTAACATTATTATAGCATGAAGTATAAATTAAATTTTTTATTTATTTTGAAGCATCAATTTTTTTTGTTGTATTTCCTTAATTTCAAAATAATCCTTAGGATGTTGATCAAGATTAAATTTGTATCTTTTAACAATAAAAGGTATCATCTGGTTTACTCCCGTTGAACTTATAATATATACAATTATATACAAAGATCAAGAATGAAACAATAACAGTGAGTACACAAAAAGCAAAACATGTCGGTACACACACTTAGTAGAAGCCATATGTGGATGAATGTAAAACTGGGTATTATGCATCGAAATAAAAAAAATGGACTATATAAGTAAACTCAATCCATAAATTTTATCTATAGTTTTAGATTACATCAACTTTTTAATTAAAAAAATGTATCAATTTTATTATTTTTTTTGTAAGAAAATGAAAACTACCTAATTACTTAAACCTAATTGCCTTCTTCACTCAAGAGTTGGCTTATATCAGCAGGAGGCTCCTTTAGGATTCTGGTTTGGCTATCTTC